CCTTAAAAACTTTTACTAATAGCATATGCTTAATTTTGGTATAAAAAATTTTTAGTATATGAGATCATATGACAAATAATCTACATTCACCCTACCCTTAAAGCATAATAAAAGTTCTGATAAGGCCTTACAACAACTCTATCGGCTCTGTCCTGACCTTAATGATCAAAGTGTATGGTTTTTTCTAACGCTTAAAAAATCTGCTGAAGGTCGTATTTTATATGAAAAATCAGAAAAGTGTGCATATGTGTACGATGTGATTACACAAAAACGATTTTCTTCTTTTTCAGCTTGGATTAAAGCACTCAATGGCAAACACTTTTTTAAAGGAAAAAAATCAGCATTAGCTACTATATTTTTGAAATCTAATTGCAATGAAGCAAATATTGGACAAATTATTAACAGAGAAAACTATACTTCTTACTTTAAAAGTACTGAAATTATCACCTTACCCTCTATCAAGGATATTTTAACAACAATGATACGTGACGATGCAGAATTTGCGAGCATAACTTTAGTAGAAAGCGAAGGATTTCTGTGTCTTGTTCTTTTTGATACAAATATCAAAAAAGAACATCATATCAAAAAAACATTCAATAAGTACCGAAAACCTATTAAGTGTTCTATTTTTGTAAACGGGTTGGAAATAAAAAATAATTTTTTAGAAGGAAATAGTGTCAACTTTGAAATCTCAACAATTGATGATGTTCTTTTAGTTGTGCGATTTTTTAAAAAATCACATATTTGTTTAGAGCAGTCTACCAAAGGTAAGTATGTTAATATATTTTTATATAATAGCATATTTTAATAACCTTATTGCAATATATCTAGGATTTAAACAAGCTACTTATCTGCAGGGCAATCATCTATATTCGAATTTTCTTGGACAAAAAAATAGTCATGAGATTATTGCGAATTTGAAAAATAGGGGTTTTGATAATGAAGCTTATCATAAAATTGACTGCACCCTTCTTGTGTTAAATGGTAACGCATGTACAAGTTGCAAGACATTGCAAAATATACTGTATCAGATTGAAAAACATCATATGAATGGCATTCAATCTGTTAAGACATTACATGCGTTTAGAGAATCTCTAGTTGATATGGTTCAAAAAGTACAAAATGTATTTATTTTTAATTTAATAAACTGCATTTATTAAATAAATATTTTTATCTTAGATAATTTTTTTATTTTAGACAATTCGTTCACAGAAAGTGTTAATTAATGATCTTTGTGATTATTTGAAGTTAAAATTTGAAACAGAAGAAGAACATGTGTCAGAACCATTAACTAACATTGTTCATAAAGTTGTCGATGAAGTATTAAACAATAAACATGAAGATATATCAAACATTATTTTGAAAGAACTGGTCTGTGTGCAAAGTGAAAAACCAAAAGGAGTGTGATATCATCCTATGTAAATAAAAATAGTAAGCAAATTCTCAATAAAAGATAAATAACTTAACTAAATATTATTGTAGATTTATTGGGTAGGCAATTTCAATATACAGTAGAAGTTCTGCTGCATATAAAGCAATGAAATCAGTTATTCGAATGCCATCTTTATCAACGCTCAAAAGTTATATTAATGAAGCTGACCAATGTACAGGTTGGCAAGACAAAATAGTAAAGCAAATGGTGACTAGTATAGAGGCAAATAATATGTGGAGCTATGCACGTTTTGGGTTTTTTTCGTATAATTCATTTAAAATTCAAAAAGGTTAGGATAATAATTTAAAAAAAAGTTTTTTATTTCAAAAAATCCATAATCTTGAATTTTTTTTATTGTAGGACTTTTGTGAAGTCAACGTGATAATAAGTATGTCAGATATATTGACTTTGATAATGAGCATAATGAATTTGAAGCATTTGGAGAGCAATATCTTCAAGAAATTCAAGGTTCTGAATATATGAGTAATTATATTAAACGTGATGATAATGGTGAAAAGAATCATAAACGAGCTTTAGCTACTCAAGTGCATCAAATCATATAGCATTCAGTATCTCATCCTTTTAATTTTCTAATAGCCTATTTTGGAATTGAAACAATGAATGTTCATACCCTCAATACAATTCTTTTTCACTTGGCTACCAAACTTGAATGTGTTTCAATTCTTACATATGGCTCTGTATATAATGATGCAGATGAAAATCAAAGGCATATTAAAAGTTTTGATTGGTTTGCGACAATTTGGAAAGTAAATGACGAAGTAGAAGTTCAATTGTCAAACAAACCGGGGAAAAAAAGTTATCAGCCAGTCTGAATAATTTCTTTTGACTTGGGATGTACAATATTTTTAATTCAGCCTTCAGGTGATACACAAACTTATAACGTTTCACATTCAGCCCTTCGACCTCCAATGCTAGCAAAAACTACTTGGAACATCAATGATCGATGTGAAGTTCGAAATACAAATGATAATGAATGGTATTCTGGTAAAATACTTACTGAAATCTCAACAGATAATTATTTGGATGTTAAAGTTATTATCGAAACTACTGAAAAAGTTGAATTTTATATATGGAAATCACCACTTTATAATATTCGTCCCATATATGATGAAAATGAACATTGGGTGTCGCACCTTGCTATTAACTCTGTGACTGGAACCCATGGTTTTTTTTAAATAATTCAATACATGTTTTTAAAAAATTAAGGAATAATGTTTCTAAAAGTCATACTGGTAATAACGAAGGCAAAAATGTAAGAGAAATAATGTTTAATAGGTAGGAGATTAGCTGGCGACATTTTTAGGGAGTATATCATCATACATCAAAACATATGACAGCAAAAGCTACTAAGTTAACTAAGCGACACATATGGCTTACTCCTTGGAGTAAAATAAGAGTAGACCTTGCAGAACATACATTATCATCTGATGTCAAAAAAGCTATGAAAAACATTCCAGAGTTAAGCCGCATTTCCCAAGGTACTCAAGTATGTAATTAAATTTTTATTTAAGCCAGAATATGATTTTTTTTTCTTCAATTCAAGATTATAATTCAATTTTTTTTTTTTTTTTTTTTTTAATATTTAAGGTGAGGTCATGCCTCTGGTTTTTATTAATATATACTTAGATATAACTTT